AGAAGATTTTCGGTGCATCGCAAGCGGACAACTGGTGGGAATGTTCATGACTGTGTGGATTCGAAGTGACCTCTATCAACATATCAGTCACCTGAGCGTCTCTTCAGTTGGCTGCGGAATCATGGGCTCTTTGGGAAACAAGGTGTGTTCTTACACGTAGAGAGGAAGCTATGAAGTTTGGTTTTCTTTAAGTTGTATAGAATATAGATAATTAGATATAGATAACCCTTCAGATAGAATTTTTTGAAACTTAGAATGATCTCTTAGATACTTTCTTCATCTTGGAACACAGGGCTCAATATCAATTAGATTTTGCTTGCATGAAACAAGCTTCTGCTTTGTGTGTAGTCATCTAGCTTCTGGAGGGACAGAAGTAGACCGAAGACAAAGAAACGCCAATGCAACTGATATTATGTCCCAGACAAGCTTCCCTGCTGGTCTTCAGCAAAATTTGCCCCAAAAAATTCTCGATCACGAGTAAGTATACGTAGGATAAGTATAGTAGGAAACTGTCATTTTCTCGACATTACCAAATCTCATCCTCACATGATAAGATTTAGATAGGGGAAAGGTAAAACTGTGAAAAGGAAAAGAGAAGGCACCTAACTATTAGGAACCGTTGGTTGACAGCAACTGAAATATACTATTAAGAATAGAAATTCTGTAACGTAACCTGGTGGCACTTGTGCCCACGGGTTCCCTTGTTTTCTTTTCCGTTGTGACTTACCTCTCGTACAGTTTTATATTAATGAATGTTATTTTCCAAAGCATAAGGTGAAGACCACTTAATTGTGGGTTGTAACCCATTTCCATAGCATCAACATCAAATTGCTAGACACTTCACCAGAAAAAATTCCAAGACAAAAATATCGGAAACCAACTAAAAACCTTCTGTTTGATGGTTTAAGATAATGATTTCAGAATAATATCTTTTGCAACAAGTGTTCATGTAACGCTAAACCTTTATCAGTCTCTGTCTGAGGGAGTTTTAATATTCACTTCAAGTATCATAAAGTTGTACATATTTGAAGGCCTCACTGAAATTTTTACCTGTTTCTTTGCAGCCGAGTGATCTGGCTCGGTGACTTGAATTACAGGATCTACCTGCCAGACTCTGCAACACTATCATTGGTCAAGAGAAGAGACTGGAACGCCTTGTTGAAAAATGACCAGGTGAAGCATATTATCTTACTACTTCCTCTAGTATTGTCAGTTATCGTAGTACTGTTGTTCAAAAATTTAAAAACCCTTGAAAAAATGAAAAAATATAGCTCAAGATGGAGCTCACGGAGGGCAATGTATTCAAAGGTTGGCAAGAAGGAGCCATAGAATTTCCACCCACGTACAAATACTATCCAAATTCAGAAGATTATATTGCGTTTGATCATTCCCGTACTCGCGAAAAGAGACGTGCCCCGGCGTGGTAAGCAATAACATAAACCTAAACGCTTTCATATGTGAATGAAGCAATAAAGCAAACAGGTGGCAGGCTAACTACAAGAAGTGTATAATACAGGTGTGATCGAATTATATGGTTTGGACATGGAATGAAGCAAACCAAGTACGACAGAAGCGAGTCAAGACTTTCCGATCATAGGCCTGTGCGAGCCATGTTCACAGCGGACATTAGGATCGTAGGAACCAGTAGGTGATTCAACGACTTTTCAAAGGCAATTCGTCCAAGAGATTTGAGTTTCTTTCCATTGTGCCTTTATCAATTGATGTCTTTAGGTTCTAGAAAGGCATTCAAGTGATCACTCAATTCTCTGCGAGATGTGATTAGCTGTCGAATCAGAATAAACTTTTTTCCCCCGTTGATTAGATGGCATAGAATCCAAAAACAAAAGTAGGCTCAATTTCCCGAGCCTGGGAACGAAAATATTTTGTAGGGAGGTTTCTGTTTCTGCATCCTTTTGACAACAGAAACTACATGTGATTAATGGAAATTGGGTTCATTGAAATTTCACACTGGTTTGTGGATTATGACATATTTCTTTATTAGCATCAAACAATCTAGAATTCGAGATCTCAGGTCCGTGAAAACGGTTAATCAGAATAGTGGTGAGATATTCAAGGATGTGGAAAATTCATTTTATCGGGGACGAAGATCAAGATTTTGAACTCTTACACCACGGTGTGGCATGTCAGAACATGATAACCTAGTTTTGGCTAGGGACAGACTTCCAGTTAGCCTAAACAATAGAACAAGGGCCACATGAAGGTTTTGTTTTCTAGCAATAAATACTGAGAAAGTTCAGATATCAGTTTGGGATCCCTTCAAAGAACAGTATTTTTGACAACACATTGCCCCCTCTATCTCTTGATTTTGATTTGGCTCAGATATTTCCAAAGCAACCTGATTGTGATAAAGTTAAAATTTCCATAAGGTCAAGAGAAGGAAGTTTCAAAACCGTAATATGGTAGACAGTTTGCACTTTGCAGGTAGTTTTCTTGGGACATCCTTCTCATTAAGAATTTTAATTGCTACTGTATACTATATTTTATAGTACGTGTTTGTAAGTTGTTATGATAAAATTTATATTTAAATGTATTTTTTAAAGTTAATTTAATAAATTAAAAGTTACTTAAATTATAATAGTAAAATGTGTTTTTGAATGTGAATATATAATTATTGAATAGAATATTAATTTATAATAATTTATAATTTGTATTATATAAATATAATATATTTAAAATGCTTAAAAATGTGATCAAATTTAAATAATATAAAATTTGATATTTTAAATAATAAAAACAAAAAAATATAAAGTTTGATATATTGAAAAATTATATAATAAATAATTTAACATACATTAATAATAAAAAATTAACATAATTCAAAAAATATATATGAGAATTTTTTATAAAAAAAGTTTGACCAACTAGACGAACTCTCAAACCTGATTATATTTTTAATAAATTAATAATATTTTTTAAATAAAAAATAATAGATTAAAAGGATAATATGATCAAATAATATATTACTTTTTAAATCTTTCGTCAAGTTGTTTTGCTAAATTTACATCCAAACCATCTTAAAAAGCACTTTCAAAAAACACAATTTCCTCCCTATGCAATATCCAAACAATTTTCAACATCTCAAATGCTAGTATATACTTTCTAGATGCCAAATATAGTTTATCCAAATAGGTTTTTAAATTTGAAACTTTTAACTTAGATAATCTTTTTAGTCAATTGATTTAAGCACCTGGTGATTTCTCTTTCGTTACATCTATGCATTATTATTCATTATTGGCAAGATTAGTTAAAAAGTAGTTTTTTTCATTAAAAAGAAAAAAGAGAAAATTAGCATGGTTCCTGCCCAAGTACATCGTCAACAAATCAAGAAATGTCATTGGCATAATCAGATGTTTTAATATTCTTACATCCATATCACAAGCTACGGGGCCAAAAGAGCCAATGCCCCAACCATTTCAATGTAACCACGTGAGAGCCTTCTTGTTGTTAACTCATCCAACCAAGTACAAATATAAATGTGAATGCTGATTTCCTTCTTGCATTGAGATAATGTGCTTGTTTATTCAGTTGACTTGCCTGATACACGAGGGATGAGATCTGGGATTTTCTAATGAAGTTAGAAATATTTGGATTGAGTCATAAGAAATGTTTGATTTGCTTGGATAGGAACGCAGTTAAACTAATCTATCAATGATATTTTTGGGAGTGATATAGAGTCGCAGAATATAAGACCTTAACAATATGGTTTTATTAGTAATGATTATTTCAATATTAGTTTTCATTATAACAACGGTATAAATTCCTTATCTTCTCTCCCTTATTAATAAATGGCTTACAGCTTGCTCCTTCAAGCTGAATTAATATATTTAATTAACCTTTTTTACAAGACTGGACCTACATGAAAATTTTATATTATAATTAGTAAGTTATTTTGCTTATTATATGTCGTAGTGAGTAAGTTATGACGTGTATAGATAGAATTTAGTAATTCTAAAATCTATTTGAAATCTTTAAAGTGAGTACCATATGTTATTATCATCCTTGCCTTTCACCACTGGACCATCACCTTATGATTTGAATGCATGATCATTTTCCCACCTTGCTAAGATATATATCAATATTTAATATAAAATATAAACAATTTAATAAACTGCAATATTAACCATCAATGATTAGTTTGGTTCGTTTTTCTATTGAATTTGAATGCTCAAAAAAGTTGCCGCTTAGTGTTATTAAGGTGAACATTTTTAATATTTAAAATGATATATTTGAATTTTTATCATTTAATTAACTAAAAACAAATTATCTAAACATATTATCATTTTTAATATTTAAAATTTTATGAGTTTTGCCAATGAATAAAATTGCTGTATAGTGTATAGAGTTATTCTTTCCATCTCTATATATAAGAAGTCTTTTATAATTTTTTTCATTCCCAAACATAAGAGGTTGTTGGTATTTTTTTTAATGAATGAATTATTATACTCTTATTAAATTTAAAAAAATATAAGTACTTTTATTGATTTACTTTAAAAAATTTATTTTTTATTTACAATAATTAAAAATAAAATTGAAATTTTTTTATGTTTTTAATTAATTAATTTTTATTGATTTACATAATTTAATTAAAGATATTTTATATATAAAAAATGGAGGGAGTATGTTTTTAGTTGTGCTGGTGGAATTTCATTGACGTACAATTTAATATGTTCTTATCCAAATGAGCTGGGACCTAACATGGCTTTCTTCGAATCTGGTGATCTTCATAATATAAATTTGTAAATTTTTTTACACAGTTAGTTTCTATTAATTGCCACCTAAATGATTTAATGATTTTATCTTGAGTTAGTGGCAGGGGAGAAAATAAAGATAAAAGTAAGGACATTTTGGAGAAAAGGATAGCGTTTTTCTTGCTTTAGAGCCTCGGACAAGGAAAGCCAAATTATCAACTCCCTCGCTTTCTTTCGTATATAAAGGGTCACACCACCGAGCCAACAACTCTCCCTTCCTCTTCCTCACTCTCTCTCTCTCTCTCTCTCTCTCTCTCTCGCTCCTGTGGTTTTTACTGTTTCATGCACAGCATTATTAGGGTTTTCGTTGTTCGCGCTCCTTAATTCGATCAGTGCTGCTCTGAGAGACTCATCCACATGGCTTTTCCTGGGAAGAAGCTCATTAACGATCCCAATGGTTTGCATTTCCTTCTTGGCTCTTGCGATGTCTTGGGGATTTTTCCTTTTCCGGTCGTTGCTGTTTGCCCCGCGAATGCTCATTGTTCTTGGCGTCTTAACAAAATTCATCTGCATTTTTTTTTTTGGAGAAATTTCCTTTGGACATAACTTGAACTCTGAAAATTGGATAGATTAAAATGTTCAGCTTACTTGATGATAGAGCGGGTAAAAGTTTTGTCTTGTTATTCTCTCTCTCGGTTGTCTTCTTTGCGTTGGGAACTTTTTGGTTCCTTAGTTTTGACTTTTTATCCCATGGTTGGTCCCTGTAATATTTTTAGCATTGGCCGTTGACTGAATATTACTGAGCCCATAATGAATTTCTCGGTGCTTGTCCTCGATTGAGTTGTGGAGGATATATCATAGTATCAATATGGGTGACTTTGTCTGTTATATTAACTTTTTCAATTTAAATATGATAAATCAATCAATATGGCTCAATTTTAGCAGCGGGGTAAGGCCCCTTTGTCTTGGGTAGCTAACCATTCTTTGCTTTTCTTGTCTGCTATCTGACCTTTGTTGCCTCAGTAATTTCCCTGCTTATAATGCTTCAGTTGGCTGCCGATTTTCTTTTTAAGTAGTGGGTGCACTCTGTTTTGTCAACTTTTTTGTCTCTCTCGCAATGGGTGGCGCGGTAGAGATTTCTGTGGGTTAGGGGAGTTCAGTTCTTGAGTTTGAACCGTACAGCAGTTTAAATTAAAAAATATTATTATCTTGCGTATGTGATAAACATATTATAACTTTTCAGTGAGTGAAAGATGGTTTAACCGTGTGATTGAATGTTTAAAAAGTAGCAGTCTGACTGAAAATCCTCTGAACTCGATTCTACTGAATGAAAATAGTGGATCAGATATAGGAAGGGAGACTGCAAAACTTTGACAATCAAATCTCAACAAAGATAATGAGAAGGATTTAGTCCAACTATAATATATGAGATATTTGACAATTCCTATTATCTAATACTCCTACCTTAAAGAATCATTGAAAATAATAATCTTAACATAGAGCCTGTCAAAATATTTAAAATAATCTTATTCTAATCAACTAGGATAACTGTTTTCTAATTAATGCAAAACACTTGACATAATGGTAAAACAACAACAACAACAAGCCTTATCTTGCGTAGTGGGACTTAACCTAATGGTAAATGGATAAACAACTAAAGATAATTAAAAACTTTAATTTCCAATAATGACAGACAAAGGAAGATTTATGTTGGTCTTTTCAAATATTTGTCCCAAAATTTAAAGGACAGAAGACAAGATTTATTTTCCGCCAATCCCTATATGTGAGGAATGGTATAGGTCTGAGTGTAATGAACAAAAAGAGAATTCACCGTGCCTAATGGTCCTATCTCTGATATCAAATCAGTCAAAGTAACAAACTTTGGTATAATATTCAGTTATTCACTCTTCCAGAAATCTTAATGCTAGAATAAAAAATCCAGTGAAAGAAACAAAAGTAACAAACCTTGCTATGTTGTTGAATATCCTTATTCTGTTTCATTCTTCTTTGTGCCTGATGGAAATGTTTGGAGTTAGGATTCTTTGGGTTCTTATACTTGTGTTTCTTTCACTGGTTTTTTGATTCAAAGCCCAAAGACACTTGGCCTTTTTCCTGTCATAATTTTTAAGGAATGTCAACGCCCTTTCTAGATTATCAACTTTTGTATGATCTGGTTCAAAGTCCAAGGTGTAGTGAGGCTTTATCATCTTATGTTTGTTCGTGTTTTAGAACTTCTGGTACAAATAATCACTTTTCCATCCATTGTGAAGTGGCATGGCTTATTTTGAATCAGCTGCTTGATTTCTTTAATAAGAGTTGCTTTTGTCCAGTTGATCTATTAACTCTTTAAGCTGTCTAGTTTAGGGGTCTCTAGCAAGAAATTTGTCAATGTGTAGCTTTTGTTAGCTTTTGGTGTCTTCGGTGAGAACAAAATGCACAATTGTTTAATGAGAAGTTTCTTCCACTACAATTATCATGAGAGGTTTATTTTTATGGCTTCTCTGTGGGTTTCAACAATGTTTTCTTGGAGGGTATCCCTTGCGATCATCAAACGATTTGAACTCTTTTGAGTGAGAGTCTTGGTTTTTTCTTGTTTCTTTGTTTGGGGAGGATCTCTTTTCTTTTGCTTTTGTACTTTCTTGTACTTCCCTCATCTCATCTTCAGGTTCTCTTACGGAATACGGAGTTGTGCAAGTTAAATATGTTCCTTCTCTTTGTTGTTTGTTTGCAGATGTCGTCACTGAATTCATAGAAGGTCTTGTGGAGACGTATCCTGGGTTACAATATTTAGATGGCTTTCCACTGGTGAATCTACATGACCAGCCTCATCTATCCTTACGAAAACCTTTTTTCTTGGTGTAGTGCTGATGCTTCAACTCTCTACTGGAATGCAGGTGAAGGTAGTATTACGTGCTGATGTTCACACAGACAACATATGACAAAGTTGCAATCATATCAGGTCTGGGATGTTCTCTTGAATTGAATTTGTATTTTATAAGCTTCCTAGTTACTTTGGCATTTGGGATTGGGGTTTCTCAGTGGAGAGCTCATTTGTTGACTGAAATAACATAACAAATTGTTAGTATCTCAATGTTTTTTTTATTAATATTCTTTCTAGTTTTGGCAAACACCAGATTCAACATTCTCCAGAAGATACTAAGACCTTAGAGCAGATCAATGCTACTGGTTTTAATTGATTTACAACCTTAGGCCTCGCTTCTTGGGTAGTTAACTTCTTATGCCTCATTTAGTATGCTGGAATTTTGACGGTGGAGAAGGAAATGGAATTAAAATCCTTGTTTTTGCATGTTTGGTGTGGTTGAATTAGACTTTGATTGAACCCTGCTGAAATAACAGAAAATAACACCAGAAAAAGACAACAGATGGAAGTAATGAGGGAAAATACTGAGGTTTCTACTATTTAAATGTCTTGGAAAATAGAATCAGTGTTATAAGAGTCCGTTGATTCTATTGAAACCCTATTCCCCTGTTACAATGGCAACTAAAAATCTACAAAGCCACAGTAACATAAATCACAAGAACGACACACAGCCACTGGCGTTCGAGAGGCCAGACTCTCCTTCTACACTTAAAATACCAATAATCCATAGAATGTCTCCTCTCAGTCGGAAGACATTAAGGACTCCAAAAAGTGACTTACACATCCCCCAACATTGGCTATACCTCTAGGAAGCCCCAAGACCATACGTGACCTAGCATTACTTTTCCTTGTCATCAGGATCCATGGGATAAACATTTGAACCAGTGGTGAATTCTTTTCTGCCCTCTTAGTTTTCCTTGATTTCCTCGTATAGGTCTTAATAAACTTGTCAGCTCCGTCATTACCCTCCCTTAAAAGCTTCACCTTGTCCTCAAGGGGAAAATTTGGAAATTGTGTAAGATAATGTCATCTTTCTTCCATGAATTCTCAAACTCAGGTAAGTCACACCATTTCACTAGTACCATCATGTTGGCCATTCACAAGCTGTCTGAATTTTCGAATATCTTCAGGCTAAACCTAAAGTTTAAGCTCACCAGAAAGTGCTGAGGGTATTGTGGAATTCACTATGGTCGTTGGCACTGATTTTTTTAGTTGAGAAATGTGAAACACCGAGTGCATGCGGGCTGTGGGGGGAAGATCCAGTTTGTATGCTATTGGGCCAACCCCTTCAATGATCTTAAAAGGGCCATAAAGCGTGGGCTGAGTTTCTCATTCACCTGCTTAGCTATAGTTTTCAAAGCGATAGGGCCTGAGTTTTATATAAAACCAAATCCCCAACTTCTTATTGTACATCCCTGCGATGCTTGTCAGCTTGCTGCTTCATCTTGCTCTGTGCAACAGTCAAATTCTCCCTTAGAATTGCAATGATTTGATTCCTAATGTGAATCTGATCGTTCACTTCTTCTATGGCAGATGACTCTTCATTCAACTTCAAAAGGAGGGGGGATCTCTCCCATACACAGCCTTGAATGGTGTCATTCCGCGGTGCTGTGATAGGAAGTGTATAACAATATTTAGCCCACAGTAACCATTGAGCCCATTGGTTTGGCTTCTCATTTGCAAAGCAACACACAAATAAGTTTCTAGTGCCCTATTTAGTACTTCAGTTTGCCCATCAGATTCAGGGTGGTAGGCAGAGCTAAGGCAAAGTTGTGTACCAGCTTGCTTAAACAATTCCTGCCAAAACTGACTCACAAACACCTTGTCTCTATTAGATACTATGGTCTTTGGAAAACCATGCAACTTCACAATGTTAAGCACAAATTTTTCAGCAATATCTTTGGCTGTGAAAGGGTGGTGATATTGGCAAAAAATGGGCATATTTAGTTAGTCTATCTACCACCACCAGAATAGTATCATACCTCTTAGATTTAGGTAGCCCGGTAATGAAATCTATGCTAATATCCTCCCATACCTGTTGAGGAATAGGTAAGGGCTATGAAAGTCCAGCAGGAGACAAGGCTTCGTATTTATTTTTGTGGACATACATCACACCTACCCATATAATGCTGGGTATCTCTCTTCATGCCCTCCTAATACATTACATTTGCCCAACACCTGTTTGTGCACAAATACCCGAATGCCCACCCATAGGGGAAGCAGATATTCTTTTAATAATAGAGGAATGCGTGCAAAGTTCTTTGGAAGCACCAGCCGTCCTTTTAATGCAAACATCCTCTAACCAAGCTGTACCCTTTGATTTCTTCTTGATTGGTGATGAGCTGCGGTAAGATCTTGCTCAATTTAAGGTCATTCTGCACTTCTGTCTCCCATTCTTCCATTTCATGGTGCTACCACAGTGAGAACCCCATCATTTCTAGTGATTCTGCTTGTCTAAAAGAGCATCCGCTGCTCTATTCTCCTTACCAGGCTTGTAAGATATGTCAAAACTTAAATCCCATTAATTTTGAAACCTATTTTTGCTGATTCTCCTCTAGAACTCGTTGTTCCAGCAAGTAGTTGAGAGCCTTTTGATCCGTTTGTATGGAAAATTTTTGTCCCCACAAGTAGTGCCTTCCACTTTTAACAACCATTACAGTAGCCATAAGTTTCTTGCTCATAAACAAGACATTGTTGTGCCCTGTTAGAGTTTTTTGACTATAATAGGCAATAGGTCGGCCACCTTGCATTAACATTGCAAACCAACACCAGCCCTGATGCATCTTCTCTGGTTAAAATGGGATGGAAAAGTCCAGCATTGATAACACCGGTAGCGTAGTCAATCGCTGTTTTGAGTTGTTCAAAAGCAACACTAGCTTCGGTTGTCCACTTGAAGGCATCTTTCTTAAGCAAGTCAGTAAGAGGACTTGCTATTTTTCCTAATTTTTGGACGAATCGTTGAGTACCTAGTCAGCCTTAGGAATCCCCTTAAGGACTTCACATTCTTGGCATAGGCCATTTCAGCATGCTCTCCACCTTTGTAGGATCAGTTTGGATCCATTCCTTTGAATGATGTGACTGAGATACTCAATTTTCGGTTGAGCAAAACTGTATCTCTTTAAATTTACCACTAGCTGGCTTTCCTTCAGGCAAGTTAGTACAACTTCTAAATGTTTCAAATGTGATGATAATCCAGTGCTGTAATATGAGAATATTATCAAAGAATACCAACACACAACGCAATTGCTCCTTGAACACTTCATTCATTAATGATTGGAAGGTAGAGGGGGCATTGGTTAACCCGAAGCGCATCACCTTGAATTCATAATGACCCTTTGTGTGTCCCTAAGAGTAGTCTTGTGTTCATCTCCTACTTTAATCCGAATCTGATGGTATCCGGATTTGAGGTCCAGCTTTGAAAAAATGGTTGCTCCCTTCAGCTCATCTAGCAATTCATCAATGGCGGAGATAGGAAATTTGCCTAAGACTGTAATTTTGTTCAGCGCCCGGTAATCGACACAAAATCGCCAACTCCCATCCTTCTTTTTAACCAAGAGGACAGGGCTTGAGTAGGGGCTGTTTGCGGTTGCCTAATCCCAACATTTAGGATCTCTTTGATCATATTTTCTTTTTCATTTTCTGTATGAGGGTACCGGTTGAATGTTTTGTGGTTGCTCCTCTGGCTTGATTTCAATTGCATGGTCCTTAGATTGCGGTGGAGGCAATCCTAAAGGGTTCGGCAAACTTCTAGAAATTCTTTCAACAATGCTTGAACTTTCGGAGTTAGACTCTTCTTACTCCCTTCTTCACTGACTAGGCCATTTATATTCAATTAGATACCCTCCCTTTTTTTCTTCATTGACCTTATGACAGACTTAGAGAGTTGTTGATTCTTGGATAAGGTAGGATCACCCTGCAAACAAACCTTGTCTCTCCCTTCGCCAATCTTCATTGTTAATCGACTCCAATTCATCTTCACTCTCCTAATGATTTCAACTACTCAACTCCCAGGACAGCATCCACACCACTCAAAGGGAATGGGTAGAATGTTGATTTACTGCAAGCCCTTGCACATTCAGCCTCACACACCTTTGCATTGTTGTTTCTGTTTGAGTGTGTATCCATCTCCAATTGTGATGGTATATTCCGATTTCATTCACTAGAATCTTTGCCTTGCTTACTAATTCTTCCGATATGAATTGTGAGTGGCTCTGCTATTAATGGGAACTACAATAGCTTTGTCTGTGAGTTGACCTCTTACCTTCATATGTGGATTACGCAAACCTGGCAATGGAGTTCAGAGATAACTCCATCCTCGTGCCTTCCTCTCTAGGCTTACTACCATCATCTGTACCTTAAAAAAATGGTGCCATTTCTTCATCATTCATTTCAGGTTCTAATTCCAAAAGCTCACCTGTAAGTTTATATTCTTGCAAATGTGATTAGGACCGAACTTCTTTTACACACTTAAAATAGAGTCTCAATTCCCTTCTGCGAGCAAATTCAGCATCAGATCACCTTCTCGTGGACCCACCCGTCTTCATTGACGAAGACCCAGAAGCGCGACTCCCCCACTTGGCGGCGTTTATGTTCTTCGTGTCGGGTTTCTTTGCAGCATCTGAGTTCGTAGAAGAGAACGACGTTGTGCGTTGCGTTTCTGGCGTGCGACTGACTCGGTTAAAATAAGTTTGGGTTGGATTCAGTTTAGGCCCAATAGGGTGTCGTTGGAAATGGGTGACCCAGTTCTTTGTGACTCTATCCACCACTGCGTTCCTTTTCTTCCACATGAAGAGCCATCTCCATGATCTCACGAAGGGTGCTAGCACTTGTGAGCCTTAATTTGCTTGAATTTTTGACTTCAATGCAATCCTAAAAGCCCTAATAAGGCTTTCTTTAGGCGCTCCCTCAAAGGGGTAGTAAGCGCTCAAACTCCTCAACAAATTGAGTACAAAATGCTTCTGTTTGGCTGTATACAGCATCTCGTAATCAATGCACCAGTTGTGATGGATGAAACTGTCGAAAGAGTTCAGGCTTAAACTCCTGCCAGTTTCGTATGGATGCTCTTGCTTTGATCTATT